GCACTCTACCCAGAGGGACAGCCTGAGGCTCTGTCTCAAAAAGAAAAAAAAGACTACATCTCTAAACTCTCCAGGCCAGGGCTCCTCTTGGATGTCTGAGAGAGACCTCAGACTTAGTGTCTGAAATGAAACCTTTGGTAACACTGTCTGCACTTACTCTACCTCCTCAACTCCCCAGGCTTCCACATCCCGGTATCACCAGCCCCTGGCTCAGGCTCCATGCTCAGCTCACCTTTCTCTCTCAAGTTCCACACGCTTCTCCCCCCTTTCTCTGCCACCACCATGGCCAGGTCTCACCTTTGCTCACCAGGAGGTTCGTGCAATAGCCTCCTGCTTGCCATCTCACTCTTGTCCCCAGGGGACTGGCAAAGTAGTGGGTACCCCTTGGATGAGGAAGAAACAGAGGAGGTAGGAGATGTGCCGTGAGCTGTCCCCATGTGCTCTGAGCACCAGGAGGAAGAGGAGTCTTGCCTCCTGCCAGGACTCCTGCCTGGGAGCATTGGCTCGTCCTGTCCCTTCTTCCCCCCCCCCCCCATGCACACCTCAGTCAGGTATCCAGTCTCACCATCCTCTCAACCCCACATACGGTGTCCCTCCTCGTCAAAAGTGGACACTGGGCCCTGTTCTTTCAGCACATGTTGCTGAGGGCCCACTGTGTGCCTGTCCAGGGTTGGTTCTGGGGATACAGCGATAACTACGGTGTGGAATGGGGGAGACAGCCCACGCACAGCCCCCATCTCTACTTCATGTTAAGCTCACCCTTCACCCTGAAGCTCAAACAAGGCTTCCTTGGGACCTTCCTCAGCTTCCCTGGCCTCCTCCCACCACCTCTCAAGGCCTGCACTTTCTCCCCACAGCGTGATTACTCGGAGTATTTGGGTGCTGTCTCTCTCACCTGCCAAGCTGCAAGCCTCATGCCGACAGGCCTGTGTCCATGTTGTCCCTGTGTCCTCTGCACCCAGCCTGGCAGCTGCCCAGCAAGAAGCACTTATTGAACAGTTGTAGGGAAACAAGTGAGCGGGGCACCCGGGTTGTCTAACTGTAGCCAGGATGGATTCTCAGGGAAGAAGAGTCTGAGGCTGTGATTGAATGACGCTCTCCCTTATCCCCTGGTGATAATTCAGAGCTCATGGGCAGATGTCTGGAAAGAGAGGCCAGGCAGCCTTGAACCTCAGAACTCACTGTAATTAGCACAGCCAGGCTGTTCCTGGGAGTCTTTCTTTGGGCCTCCTATCTTGATGGCCTTGGGTCTCTGGGGCAGGGAAATGCCAGGCCCACTCATGGGCCAAAGTGCTCAGAGTACCTCCTCCGACATGGCCGTGGCATTTCAGGGTCATGGCCGGAGCCAGATGGGGATGGTGAGACACTGCTATTTCCAGGGCCTGGTGAGCAATGGCGACTCTCTCGGTTTCATATCCAGAATCCTCACTGCTAGAAGCGTTGCCATAGAGACGAGGCCCCTGGGAGGGGCAGGAACTCCCCTTTCACTTTCCCTGATATTCTGCTTCCTCTGAGGAGCCACAACCAGCCCAGCTTTCCCCTTCCGCCCTCTGGGAGGCTTCTGCTCATTATTTATTGCTCTGGGACCTGAAAAACATACAGGTGTTTCTGACACTTGGCAGCAGGGCTCTTGCCCCCTCCAGAGCCCCTTGTTGTAGCCCCTAGTGGTCATTCAGGCCCCATGACCCTGGCTATCACTCTGGGAATTCTCTTGTCTCTATAGCTGCCTTTGAACTAGTCACAGGCTGGTCCCATCTTCTGTTCAGGGCTGTCACCAGCAAAAGCAGGGTGTGGTGCTGGGCTGGGTGCAGTGGCTCACACCTGTAATCCTAACACTCTGGGAGGCCTAGGCAGGTGGATTGCTTGAGGTCAGGAGTTTGAGATCAGCCTGAGCCAGAGCGAGACCCTGTCTCTAAAATTAACTGGATGTTGTGGCGGGCACCTGTATTCCCAGCTACTCAGGAGGCTGAGGCAAGAGGATCACTTGAGTCCTGAGTTTGAGGTTTGAGGTTGCTGTGAGCTATGACACCATGGTATTCTACTAAGGGTGACAAAGTGAGATTCTTGTCTCAGAAAAAGAAAACCTTGGTGCTAATTATTAAAAGAAACGGGGGGCAGGGAGCTCTCTGGGGCGAAGGCTGGGAAAGCTGATTGAGAACTGATCGGGAAACTCATGCCATATGCGCCGAGTCACTATGCTGGGTGGGGCTCTGTGCTCCAGATAGCATGCTCTGTGTGTTCTCACTTGTCCCCATGCTGACCTGCTCCCCTCAACCCAGTGCCCTCTGTCCTCATTTCTACCTGGTGAGCCACTTTTCATGTCTGAGGACCTGCCCATATGGAAGGAGCATCCTCAGGACATCCCCTTCCTGTCCCCACCCCTCCAGAGAGAGTTGCTTTTCTGTGCATTCGTGGCCATTTGCGTCATTCAGAGCACTTTTTTTTGTCTGTGGTCATTTCTTTGCACATCTGTGTCTGCCATTTTAAACAATGAACTCCTTGGGGACAGGGAACAGGTCTTATCCGCCTCTGCAAAAGTTAATGCCAAGCACCATGCCTGGCACTCAGCAGGTGTTGGGGGCCATCCTATGAATGTCATAGAATGTTGATGAAAAATGGCCTCAAAGGTTGCGAAAAGTTTTAACAGGAAGCCCCATGGGGACAGGGATGTTTGCTTTGTGCCTAGAGCTTGCACAGTGCCTGTCACAGAATAAGCATCTAATAGCTATCTGTTCAGTGGGTGAAGGGTTAAAGTTCTGCTAGAAACATCTTCCTGGGGGAGGTGGGGTTTGGGGGGATTTTTGAAGAAAACAAAGGAAGAAGCATGGGGTCAGAGAGAAATGAACATGGAATGGGAAGTGACCAGAGCAATGAGGAATCCCCCAGGGAGGGAGCACATGGGACTGAGAGAGTTGGGGACTCTGACAAGGTCTGTAGCAAGGCCCTGAGAGGAAGGCCTGGGCACAGGAGCCAGCACACAGTAGGTCCTTTGTGGACCTGAGCAGCAGGAAACAGTCACTATCTAGGGCACATGGTGGAATCTTATTTGCAGTCATTAAAACCCCAGAAGCATCTCCAGTCTGCCAGGCTTTGCCCAAGGGTATCACATACCTGCTATGACCTAGGTCCTCACTGCTGCCCTGACAGGTGTCAGACCTCTGTTCTACAGCTGAGGACACTCAGGCTCCAAGAAGGACTCATTCAGGCACACCCGGGGGCAAGTGGGAACACACTGCAAACTCTCCTATCTGTCATTCCAGAGAATGCCACAGCCAGCGCGAGCGAGGCCGAGAGGAAGGCACAGGTGTACTACCGTGCGTGCATGAATGAGACCAGGATCGAGGAGCTCAGGGCCAAGCCCCTGATGGAGCTGATTGAGAAGGTGGGTCCCTCGAACAGATGTTCCCAGCCTCCACCTGCCCCTGCCACCTGCCTGTCCCTCTGGCTTCTACTCCAGCTCTCAAGTGCCACCAGGGCCCAGCTGCCTCTCAGCTCCAGCCTCGTACCTCACACCATGCCCAGCTGGACGGTCGGGGCTGTGTGTGTGTGTGTTGCATCTCCGTGTGGGCAGGGCTGTCTGTGCATGTGTTTGCACGAGGGTGTGTATCAGCATCTGCTGTGGATGTCTGTCTTCTGTGTGTGTCTTTCTGTGCTTCTGCGTATGGGACAGGGCCATATTTAATGGGGAAAATGTTTTTCTATGCTGCTGCCTCTTCCTCAGAGGTGTGCTTGTGTGTGTGTTCCAGAAAGACCAACAGAGCCTTGGTCAGGAACCAGAGCCCTCCCTGTGGGGAAAGCCCTGTTGACCTGGGCCATCTTCTTACTCCTAAGCAGAGGAGGAAGGTCTTTCTTCCTGGACACCCCCAGTTGGCCTGGAGCACACTTAGAGGGGCTGGACAGGCTACCTGGTCCAGATGGAAGGTGGCTATGCGTGTTTTCTGGCTGCCCTGTGCTCCCTGGAGGGCCTGCTCCCAGCTCTGGCTCCAGGAAAGACCTATGGCAGAGTTGGTGGCTGTGGGCACTGGGGACTACACCAGTCTCTCCTCTCTGGACAGGCCCTGGGTACCCGAATGTGCCAAGCCAAGGAAGACCAGGAGATTAAAAAAAAATCCTAACTGGGGTGGCGCCCGTGGCTCAGTGAGTAGGACGCCAGCCCCATATACCAAGGGTGCCAGATTCCAACTCGGCCCCAGCCAAACCGCAACAAAAAAAATAATCCCAACCTTGAGAGAGACTAAAGCTTATCTGTCTTCTTAAACATCTCGAACCTTTTCTACTGCCGTAGTCACAATTGAATTTATGTGTGATAGGAATTATATTCACATGATTCAGTGTCCTAAAAGTGAGCAGCATACAAGGAAAAGCCAGCTTCCCATTCCTACCTGGGAGCAGCCCCATGTGGCTCCTGTCTGTGGCTCCTGTCTCGCTTGTCTAGAGTCTTCAGCTCTCGAGTCAGAAACCCACCATGAAGACCGCCCTTTGGTTTACTCTGGAGGCTCAGAGAGATCAGATGAGGTTTCAGGGTCACAAGCCAGGTCAGCTGCAGAAATGGAATCTGCATTCCAGTCTCCCTGCCACCTTGTCACCTCCCTGCCACTCTCCCTACAGCTTGGGGGCTGGAACATCACAGGTCCTTGGGCTAAGGACAACTTCCAGGACACCCTGCAGGTAGTCACTGCCCACTATCGCACCTCGCCCTTCTTCTCCGTCTACGTCAGTGCCGACTCCAAGAACTCCAACAGCAACGTGATCCAGGTGAGCTGGCTGGAAACACGGGAGGAGGAAAGGGCACAATCTCTCCCTGTTTTAATTGTAGCAAGTGCTGGGTGGGAAGACCTACCCTGGGTGCGACGGAGGCTTCTGGCTTCTGAGCCTAGGTTATTCTGGAGGCCCCCATGGCTGAGATATTTGTAGGTAAGAGACCAAGAAAGGGTAGGCCACGAGCTGTGGACAGGTCTACATTGCACTGCAGAGTGTGGGCCCCAAGAGTGATGTCAACTGCTTGGTATTACTAAAACACCTCCTGGGTCCCCCCGCATCAGCATCTCTCCATCAGAGCCAGCCCCATGCTGGGATTGGCACACCCAGGGAGCCCCAGCACTGGTCTGCCCCTACCTCACATGCCGGCATGAGAAACCCAGCCTGGGGACCCTAGAGGCTGAGTTTCTAGCCTATCACTATCATCCACTCACTGTGTGACCTTAAGCAAGTGCCTCAACCTCTCTGAGCTGCAGTTTCCTTCTCCATCAAATGAATATAACAACACCTGCCTTAGGTGTGTCAGGGTGTGGCCATAGGCCCTAGTGTGAGCTACCAGGAATGCTCCCCTCACTTGCAGGCTGTCCACCAGCAGCATACTCTTTTTTTTTTTTTGAGACACAGTCTTACTCTATCACGCTGGGTAGAGTATATGGCATCATAGCTCTCAGCGACCTCAAACTCCTGGGCTTAAGGGATCCACTTGCCTCAGCCTCCCGAGTAGCTAGAACTATAGGTGCCAGCCACAATGCCTGAATAGTTTTTCTGTTTTTACCAGAGAGAGGGTCTTGCTTTTGCTCGGGCTGGTCTTAAACTCCAGAACTCAAGTGATCACTCACCTTGGCCTCCTAGAGTTCTAGGATTATAGGCATGAGTCACCGTGCCCGGCTAGCCAGCACCATGTTCTCGAATCCTCATTCCAGCTCTGAAGGTTAGGTATTCTTTCTTTTATTTTCCTGATGAGAAACCTGAGGATCAGAAAGGTTAAGTCACTTAACCAAGGTACACAGCTTGTGAACGGCCACATACACCAAGGCTGGTGGGTTCGAACCTGGCCCAGGCCAGCTAAACAACA